AGAGTCAGGCGACAGAAGAAAAGGAGTCAAGGCTGCCCGAGGCAGTTGTTCATCGTGAGTCAAACATTTTAGAAGATTAAACAGCTTGAACTGGGTAGGAAGTTGGTCATCCTCACTTGTAAAACGGTGCCTGAATGTTCAAATCAATGAGATATCATCGTTCCGACTTTTCCCAGTTTCCTCTGTGCAAAATATAACAACTCTGTTTCTCAGACAGTAGAAGGAAAATCAAACACTTTAGTTGAGTTTACCAGGCTTCAAATTAATTTTTTTTTCTAGTCAGTATTTTGTGCATTTTTGAGCTAGAATTTGCCTCTAACCAGGGCCTTTCATGAACTGGGAATGGGTGTTTCGTGTGATTCTTTTAGATGAGGATTATATCAGTGTTGATTTCAAGTGGTTAGTTAAAATTGAAACTGTTACACTAAGCTCTGGTGTGTTCTCTAAGCATTAAGGGCCTATGACTTGGATTTATTGGTAATACCAGTGTGTGTCTAAGTAACTGGAAAATGTGCTTCTCATCTTTGAAATTGCTTGGATGGGTGAGGGAAAACAAAGGACTCCTTCATACTAGGCATCCATAACTCATCTTGGGCTCTTGTAATGAGCTGCGGACCGAATATGAACTCCGCCTGAATTTGCACCTTCAGTGGCTTGAGTTTCTATGTCTAAATCATGGCAAGTTGGGAGAGTTAAAAACTGCACCATGGACTCGGCATTTGCCATGCCCTACACTGTGCTTGTATGTGGACTGCTTTTTTCTGAACGTTAACTCCGTTATTCATGCCTGTATCACAAGCTGACAGGGCAGAAGCCAACCATAGACACCTTAAGAGTCTTGGAAAATAAGCATATTGCTTGTATTAAGGTTCTTGCAACTGTAGCAAATAATCAACATAACAGTGTCCTATAAGGGTGGCTGTAATATGTCTGAAATGAGAAATAGCGATTCTTCTAAAACTACTAAAACATTTTTGGGTAACATAGAATGGAACTAGATGAGATGGCTTATCCATTATTTTGGAAGTTTTGGGTTTTTTGTTTTTTGGGTTTTTTTTTTTTTGTAAACAGTGGACACCTTCTGTACAGAACATAAATAGAAACTTGACTGAAAGCCATTGTATAGGAAAACTAGCTTCTCATACCCACCCCTCTAGAGATGAGCAGGTAAGGCTGGGAGGGGAGGCTCCCCAGTGCATTTGGTTTTGGCACATGGATATGGCGGTGGTGGGGATGGACAGGAGAGGAACTGAGGGAATTAAATAAGCTAGCAGGTGAGTAGAAGTTTCCTAGGGGAAAGATTTTAGAACATGGATAACAAGGCTTTAACTATTTTTTCAACTAACACATGTATAGGTTCTAAATTCAAAAAGGATAAAAGAAATTTTCCTCGGTCCTGTCCCGCACCCAGGAGGCGGCCTTTGGTGCGGCTGAACCGTTGGGTGTCCTGCCAGAGACACTGTGTAAGCGGAGACTTGCACCTTCACACACAGTTCTGCCCTTGCCTTTCTGTTCCACGACCTCGATGAGCATTTCACGGTCACACAGGCAGGGCCGCCACCGTTTTGTCGGGCAGCTGTGTGCATTGGCACTCGCAGTTCTCCATACAGTTCTCTGCTGGATAGTGTTGTGCATACTTGCAGGTACACCCATGGGATAAACTCCAAAGCCGACTTCCTAGAAGTAGAATTGCCCTGTCGAAGGGTATAGCCACTGAAAACCGAGAGTGCCACATTGTTCTCCAGAGAGAGCCCACGGGCATTGTACCCACGGTGACTGCTTCTGGATCTCTGCCAATCTGATAGGTAAAAGGATACCTTGAAGTTTTAATTTGCCCATCCCTTTAAGGTGAGGTTGAATGTGTTATGCATCTGAGCTCCTGTTCATACCCTTTGACCCTTCTTCTATTAGGGTTCTAGTATTTCTGATCTGTAGAAGCTCGCTATTCATGAAAGAAAGGAATACTTTGCCTAATGTGACAAATATTTTTCTTTGTCTTCTAAGTTCTTTATGGCATTTTTACCATGTAGATAGTTTAATTTTTCTATAGGCACATGTATCACTTTAGGGGACTCTCTAGGTTTTATATGATATAGAAAGGAATACCTACTCTGTGTAAATATATAAATTCCATGTTTTTTTTCTAGTGCTCTCAGGGTTTCATATTTTATACTGAAGTTTTTGATTCATCCATCTAGATCTTAGTATGCAAGATAAGGAGCCAACTTATTTTTTTAAAATCTAGATTACTATCCAGATGTCTCAAGATTTTTCCCTTTACTATTCTGAAATGGCTCCTTTATTATATGCTAAATCCCCTTATTAATAGATTTTATGCCTAGATTTACAAAATTCCCTTCCATCAGTTTGTCTGCTTTCCATGCCACCGCCGCAGCGTCCAGGGATTGTGGCTTCACAACCTCTCCCCTGGGGCTGAAATACACCATTTCTGTTGCTCATAACCTTTCTGGCCATTGCTGCCTTTCCTCTCAGCTAAACCTTTCAAACCCTCAGCCTAAAACAGCGTCTACCTTTGAATCTACTGCAAGTTCAGAGATTTAAAAATATGCCCAAATCCTCCTGTCTGCGTCCCTTTCCTCCCCTGGAGGAAGGAGCGCTGGCTTTCTTCAGGTCCTCCCTGGTCTCAGATGTCCCTCTGCGCACGTTCAGGACCCCTGTCCTACAGGGGGGAGTGATCCTGACTCTAACCCTCCACAACTTCTTCTTCTTCTTCTTTTTTTTTTTTTTTTAATGATTCCCTGGAAGGAAAAGCCTGAGTCAAAAGCATTCCTACAGCTATTCTCTGCCCCATGATTGAGGTTCTTCTTGGTGATATTCTTAAAGTTAACTTCCTTCTGTTCCAAGTATTGGTTGGGTTACAGCTCGCCCGTTTGTATTTTTACAGTAGGTCAGCATCCCTGACCGACATCTGTGTCTCCACATCACAGATGGTGCAGCAGTGGCTCAAAGCAAAGCTCGAGCCACACCTCTCTGATCATTTGGACTGGGCCCGTAGTGCCCTGTATAATGGGCACATGGGCACAGTGCGCTCGTCATAAATGATGAAAGAAAGGGGCCACAGAGCACTGTGTCCCCAAGTTCATCGGAAAGAAAACCACTGTCTCAAATCTGACTGGAAGCCAAATGCCAGCTACAAAAAACATCAAGTATTCCCTCACAAATTCTGTCTAGCCTCCTGAACTCAGCACTCTGGTAGGATGATCCAGATGGCGCAGGGCTTTATAACGCCGTCCCAACAGGTTTGAGGGGAAGCTTTTATCGCCCCCTTGGCATGCCGTTTTCTGTAGCAAGCAGAGGGGCTCATCCCCAGACTGGTCTCCCTGGAGCCCCGCCTCCCCATCGCCAACCGGGCAAATCCAGCCCCGTCACCTATGTGCGAAAAGGAGCCTCTGAGGGGCTGGAGGACAGCGCTGGGGGCCAGGGGGATGGGGCCGGGCCTTGGCTGCCGCTGCCTCTGCCCCGGCCCCTCGATTCCAGCCACGAGCTCCTGTTGCCTTTCAGTCTTCTTGTGTCCTGTCCCCATAAGGGGTCTTCCTCTTCCCCCCAGTCAGAGGACACTTCTGCATTCTCTCTACTGCGCACTGCCTGGTATTGCTGTGCGGCGTGCTCGCCCACCGTCTGGGCGGGCGGCTCCGGGAACGCTCAGCTGCCTGCCTCCAGCGGTGCCGGATGCACCCCGACACCGGCAGCCACCCCGTCGATCTGGGCGGGGTAGGTGAGGCTCGGATCCCCGGTGCCAGGGCAAGACTAAACGTCCACATTGCACCCCAGGACAACGCGTGCTGGGTGAGCGCTCAGAAGCAGCAGCTGCAGAGACCATCGGGGTGGGTTTTGCATGTGTCCAGCAGGTCAGAGGTGTGAAGGGGGCAGGGGAGCCGCTCGCCGTGCAGTCTGAGGACAGCGCCTTGACCTTTCGTTTCAGCCCTTCCATCCCTGTAGCTAATATTTGACGCAGGCGGATCCATAGGCACCTTGACTCTAATATATCAGTATTTTTAAATATACTATTAGGATTTCTGGGAACCTGTTGCGTTTCGTCTTCTGCAAGGTATAACTTAGTTGAAAATGACTTTGGTGACTTTGTGGCTCTAACAGGTCAAGTGTGAGCAGTGATGTTTTTCTCTTAGTTCTGAGTGCAAGCTTTCGGCTCCTTGGATAGTGCCAAGGTACCAGTTTTCAAAATGCAGGTGACAGATGACTCTGCTGAGGGAGTTTCCCACACGCCGTGTGGGGGCCCTTTGCTGGGCAGAGTCGTCCCACCACAGAGCCGACCTCGCCCTTTGTAACCCAGGAGTCCTGTCCCTCAGATGCCTCCTCGGTCCTACCCCGGGGAGCAAAAGGGTCTCTCAGAGGGCTGATCACTCTGATGCAGGGAGAGGACGTGGGTTCCTGCTCACAGGATGTCCGTGTGCTTGGTGCTGATAGGACTGACCGGACGCCCTCTTCTAGCGGGGCTGTGGCCCCGTTGAGAATTCATCTGGTCACGGAGTGAAGGAAGTTTGCATGTGGCCTAGGCGTCAACCAGTTCAAGATGCAGTGAGGGAGCCAAGGGCAGGAAAGGTGGCTTTCATAGAAAACAAGGAAGCTCAGCAAACCCGTTGGCTCTCTATTGGCTAATGCCGTGTTCAGGTTACTCGGTGCAGTGGGTTTATTTCCTTCCCATCACACAAGCCCGCACAGCCCACCTCTCACCCTCACGCAGACAAAATGCGTGAAACAACACCAGCACATAAAACAAAATTACGAAGTTACCCAATGTGGCGCAGGGTGAATGTCTGGACATTGTCCTTACCCCACGAAGGCACTATTTTTTACATATTTAATTCATTTAATCCTCACAGCAACACCCAGTAGTAGGCCCACTTACTACTGTTTACAGAAAAAGGTTCAAAGAAATCTCAGTGTCATCTCTGAGTCCCTTGAGCTGCTTTGCAAGTGGAAGTGAATCCTAACTGTGTTTCTCACCCCCTCACTTTCAGTTCCCCTGGCCACGACGTCCCCCAAGATGGCAGAGGAGAGCAGCAGTACCAGGGACTGCGTGTCCTTCAGCGTGCTCAACTGGGACCAGGTCAGCCGGCTGCATGAGGTCCTGACCGAGGTCGTGCCCATCCACGGGCGAGGCAACTTTCCAACCTTGGAGATGACCTTGAAGGACATCGTCCAGACCGTCCGCAGCCGGCTGGAGGAGGCAGGCATCAAAGTGCAGGACGTCCGGCTGAACGGCTCTGCTGCTGGCCACGTTTTGGTCAAAGACAACGGCTTGGGGTGCAAAGACCTGGACCTCATCTTCCACGTGGCTCTTCCCACCGAGGTCGAGTTCCAGCTGGTCAGGGATGTGGTGCTGTGCTCCCTCCTGAACTTCCTGCCGGAGGGTGTGAACAAGCTCAAGATCAGCCCGGTCACCCTGAAGGAGGCCTATGTGCAGAAGCTGGTGAAGGTATGCACAGACACTGACCGCTGGAGCCTCATCTCCCTCTCCAACAAGAACGGCAGGAATGTGGAGCTGAAGTTCGTTGACTCCATCCGGCGTCAGTTTGAGTTTAGCGTGGACTCCTTCCAGATCATCCTGGACTCTCTGCTCTTTTTCTATGACTGCTCCAGCCACCCCATCTCTGAGCACCTCCACCCCACAGTGATCGGGGAGAGCGTGTACGGGGACTTTGAGGAAGCCTTCGACCACCTGCAGAACAGACTGATCGCCACCAAGAACCCCGAGGAGATCAGGGGCGGGGGGCTGCTCAAGTACAGCAACCTCCTCGTGCGGGACTTCAGGCCCACAGACCAGGAGGAGATCAAAACTCTCGAGCGTTACATGTGCTCCAGGTTCTTCATCGACTTCCCGGACATCCTGGAACAGCAGAGGAAGTTGGAGACCTACCTGCAAAACCACTTTGCCGAAGGAGAGAGGAGCAAGTACGACTACCTCATGATCCTGCGCAGGGTCGTGAACGAGAGCACCGTGTGCCTCATGGGCCATGAGCGGAGGCAGACCCTGAACCTCATCTCCCTCCTGGCCTTGCGCGTGCTGGCCGAGCAAAACATCATCCCCAGCGCCACCAACGTCACCTGCTACTACCAGCCGGCTCCTTATGTCAGTGATGGCAACTTCAACAACTACTACATTGCCCAGCCTCCAGTGACCTACAGCCAGCCCTACCCCACCTGGCTGCCCTGTAACTAACCTTGAGACCTGAGGGTTTCCACAGTGGGAACCCTGTAGCGCAGAGGCTCTCAGGTAGGGGAGCCTCCCTCTAGATGTAGGTGTTTGCCTTTTAAAGGGGAACTCAGCTCTGGTTCTGCTTTTTTTTCTTTGTGTCCCCTTTGGAATGGGTCGACAGTGTGTCATGAGCCAACCCTAAAGGGACCCATTATTCCAGTGACACTTCAGAAGAGGCTGTAGGAAGTATGGCCTACCCACATCTTTCCAAGATAGACACTACCACGTCCCATCCGGAGTGTGAGCACGGGGGCCCAAGCTCCGTGCGGTAGCCGAGACTGGGGAGGCGCCCGGGCGGCGTACGGGAAGTGCCACGCTGCTTGTCTTCTCTCTTGAGCCTGGGGTGGGCTCTGCCAGCGCCCGCCTGGGGTTCTCGGTTACATGAAAGTTGTGCTGATAGTCTATTTTCTTGCATCAGTTTTAGTCAGGCAGAAAATGGCAAACATGAGGGTGCTCCCGTGACTTCAGTTTTGTTCCAAGGACGGCATTGCTTATGTTATTCCCTGTCAGCAGAGCTGAGGACTTCTTTCATCAGTAAACCAAAGCCAGCCGCTGCCGAATGGAGGTCTGGCTGGAAGTGGTTCATGGTTTAGATGCTATGCTCTCGTGAGGAATTGTGTGAGATTGTTGAGGAAGAAAAAAAAAAAAAAAGATCTTTTCTTGAAAATGTAACTTGAAAACAAATAAAATGTGGAACATAATGTTAAGACAGAATTGTGGTGGGGGTAGGGGTGATTGTAAATAGGAAACATGAATGTTCACTTTTTTCTTTAAGAAATTCTTACTGAATGACACTTCTTTTTTCCTCATCCTCTCTTTTGTTTTTCTCTTTCTACGACTAAGGACTGTGCTGAGTGTAGGGTCATTGGAATAACTGACGTGTGAGGGTCTTCCCGTGTTTTAATTGGAAACCCATTTTGGTCACATTCCAAGTATGACAAGCTGTTTTTCTGGAGTACTTGGGCTGATATTTTTGTGTTTTGTTTTTGTTTTTGTTTTTGTTCAAAAGTAGCGATTTCCTTCTCCAGAGTGTTTTGTTTTGTTTTTGACAGCAATGAATTTGGGAGTTTCAGTAAAATTGAGCAGCCTGTGGAGCGACCTGCCCCTGTGGTCAGGTATCTGTGGCTTAAAATGGCTGTGGGTTGGAGCCCGCGGTCCCTGTGCTGTGCATGAGGTAGAGGGTGAGCGTCCAGTCGGACCTGTCAGCAGGCACTGAGGCACCTTGCAGTGGTCCATCCTACTGTGTCTGGGCATGAACTGAGTGAATGAAGAAGAATCTCCCTTACGCTGGTAGATTTGACTATGCCTGTTTATATTCTGCACTTTAGAAGGAAAACAGTATTAACCTCTAGTCTGAAGCAAGCTTAGCAGATGGGAGAGCTCGAAGCTGCTGCTTTCCCAGTAGATTAAGGAAGGGGTTTTGTATTTGGAAATTTCATGTGTGAACTCTTAGCAAGCATCATTTCAGGGTGTCAAGGGTAAAGAAACCCAGCATTGCCAGCCAGCTTGGTTTCTAAAGTGATTTGATCCTACATGTGGCCCTGATTGGACATTCCTCCTGTGGCCAGGCACACGCCAAGCCCTGGGCGTGTGCTTCCTCGTCGCTTTAATAAGCAATGAAGTTACCTTCGTGCAGAAATGCTTAATAGAAAATGAGTGGTTTACCTTTTTCTGAAGATTACATTTTCAGGGTTTTTTCTGGACTGTGGTATCTTGGCCTCTTAAAAAGCAGGCGGGGGCGCGACTGAACCCCAAGGCTTAGCTGCTGTCCAGGCTGTGCTCCAGGAGGTGGAGAGAAGCCACTTCCTAGCATGACCAGCTCCTGTGTCTCTCTGAGCCGCTCATATCTGAACTCACTGGCTTTGAGTCAAGGCCAGTTTAACATTGGAGGGGAGGGGCGGGGTGCTTCAGTGTTAAAAGGGGAACAGTGAAAGAAGAGTGAATCCTGACTTTGAGAACTACGTGGTCATCCATGACCTTAAGAGACCGCCATTGTGGTCAGATGGCAACATGTTTGCTCAAAAATGACAGATCTGTGTAACCAAAGCTTTGAAATGTGCTGAAGCCGCCAACAAAAGCACTTGCTAACGGCAGTCGGTGTCACAGCCCACAGCAGGCGTGGCGATCGGGCAGTGAGGCTCCGGAGGGAGGGAGGATCGGAGCCGCATCATTAAATGTCAGTTTGTCCTTGGCAGTTCTTTCTGCTCATTCTCTGCCACCGCAGCACCCCCGCCCCCCGACCCTTGAGCCGGAACTAGTCCTTTGAACGTGAAGGGAGGCACAGAAGTCGCTAGGAACCCCAGCCTCCATTTCTTTCCCACCCTTGCACGGTGGCCAGCTTGGCAGTCTCTTCACCTGAAGTCCTCGGGCAGCCCAGCTGTTCCGGAGTTTGCAGGCAGGCGTGTTCTAGAACCACCAGGGTAAAAAGCTACACTTTTGAAACACCACCCTGGGCTCACTGTGTCTCCACCTGCTCTGTGAGCCTTCTGCCTGCCTCAGACTAGACCAGGTAACCTTGAATTTCGGGTGTCTGGAAACTCCAGCTGAAGCCTGCCTTTCGCGCCGCTCAGCCACGCTGAGTTCAACGGTGGTGCTTTTCTGTGCGTTGAGTAACATGAAACTTAGCAGTGGCCAAGTGAACTAAAGTTCAAGTGCAAGTTCTCGCATACATTTAAGCAGTCTCGTTTGCTTCAGGGCTCTGAACAGTGGTCTGATGCCTTCCGCAAGCGTGCCGCGTGTTGCCCCAGCCTGCTTCTCGGAATCGGGTCGACAGCGGTGAGATTAAAACAGCACCTTTTCCCTTGGGTTGGCAGAAGGGTGCGCGCTAAGCTCCTGGCCCTGAGCTTCAGCCTCACCCTTCAACCTCGTCTTGGCAGTAAGACACTATTCCTCACTCACTAGCTTCAGCTCTGAAACCAAACTCCGTATCACCAACAGCTTCCGATCCGGGCTCTTGCCGATCGCCCCGGAGGCCTGGCAGGTGGGGGCCGGGGAGGAAAGGTGCTGGGTTCCTGCTATTTGGTAACAAATGTGTTTTGACATTTAAGTCCCCCCCCTCAACCCCCCGAGTTTGCTTTTCCCCTGGAGATGTGAGTTTATGGTGAGCTGTGTGTGTGAACCTGCGGTGTTATTTCTGTTTGGTTTTCTTTGGTGATGCATTAATTAGCAAAATGGCTAAAGCCCAACTCTGCTTGCTCTTCAGCCTCCCGCGGGCCCTGGCCCCCTTGCCTTCCTAGTAGATGAGGATTTTAACAAGGGCTGCTTTCTCAGCTTTAGGAAGCGGTGCCACACAAAAGCAACTTCCGAACTTTCAGAACGCCTCCCTTCTCGTTAACTTCCTGGGGGCGGTGCCTTGTTTTAGGGTGCAGCTGGGTTCTGAGCTCAAACATCCTCTCCCAGAGACTGAAGGATAGTTATCCAGGTGTGAGAAGAGACCCCAATACTCACCGGGCCGTGACCCCTGGAGCATCTGCCTGCGGGCCCACGTGAGGGAGAAGCCTTTGGGGGGATTCTGTGAGGTGAGAGAACTTCCAGCGGCCAAGGTTCAAGTCATACCCTTAATCTGGCAGAGACCAGAATGTCACAGTTGACCTTGGAACATATTCCAATTCCGCCAGTTACATTCAGAGGACCAGGGGAGTGGGGGGGGGGGGGGGGGGGTGTGTTTGGGGGGTAGTGGTGATATATTTAAAAAGACCTGACAACTTTATGGGATTATTTGTGGAGACTTCAAGGTGAGGATTGGGAAAGGAAATGCTTTTTTTGTGAGTTCAAGTTCTAAATCTTGTTGACCTATCACTTTATTAAAAAAAAAAAAAAAAAGTTAAGTGTCAGCAAAAGAAAATGCTTGGAGTTCTCTGCCTGGGTTAGTGAGAGTTGATGCAAATTGCCGTGTGTGTTTGCACAGCAAGGTGAGAAGACCATCCGCTAAAGAGGAAACCATTAAATAACATGGATCTGTGGGTGTCTGAAAACTCAAGCCATCCGGGTTTTATTTTATTTTATTTTATTTTTAAATGAGTTAAAAAAATATCTGCTTTAGAAAAATTAAGATTTTTTTTTCTAATCCATTAACTTCCAAATTAATACAGTTGGAAAGTACAGTACTCATTAGACTAAATTGGAAGCTTTTGTTATTTTAGATTCGCATAGCCTTTGAGATATTAATTTACTAGGATGCGTGAGTTTTCCTCTTTGGTGTAATGGCCACTGACCTTCTTACGTGAAGCAGGTGAAATCACTTGTCAATGCAAAATGTATTAGAACTTGATGAAATAGAGCTTTGAGTTTGAGAAATAAAGATATATTTAAAAAAAAAAAACCAAACACCTTGTCAGTTATGAGACCTTACTGTGCCCATTTCTTTGCGCGCCTCTTCCACGGTGAACTTGTTTTCTGTTTCAGGGAAGGTGCTGCGTGGGGGTGGGTAGTTATCAAAAACACCCTTGGACACTCCTGTGGACGCTGGTGCTTTCCCCGGGGGACGTACTGTTACCTTGGGGCCCATCGCCTGCTTACTGTTCGGACTCTTCTCCAAAGTGCCCGGCTAATTTAAACTGAGCTTTGTTACTGACCACAGCCTCTCAGCTAATGCCCACGTTCGGTGGTGTAGTCTTGTTGATTCAGTGCTAAAAGCTAGGTTCTCCTGAGCTTGACCTGGGCCCCAAACCCCTTTCAATAAGAGAACCAGGATAACTTGACTGCTACCATGGTTTCTTCACATTTTAAAATAGGCCGGAAGTGAACGAGTGAGATTTGAGTGGCGGACAGATGCCATTGGGAGGGTATAAAGAGAGACCGCAGAGCCTGCATGGTGACCAACTTGCTTCCTAATTCCTCTGGTCCAATTCACAACCCCTCTGCGCCCCCAGCCCTGCCCTGTCCAGGGCCTCAGTTCTGCGCTGAATCACTTTTACTCCTACGTATTTTCTGTAACTATCATCAGAAGACATACGTCTCTGTATAAAAATTCTTCACCCCCTTGTCTTGCCTGCCTGCTGCCGCTCCTCAAACCTCCCTGTGTGAGGGGGAGCATTCCCTGGGGTCCTGTAGGCGTGCGGTCCTCCTCCAGACCATGCCTGGGGGCTGCTCCCTCAGGGACGCTGTCTCCCTCCCCCAAAGCCCTTCCTGCAGCCAGGCCGCAGCTCCGCTGCTGCGCCTTCTGCCTCACGGTTGACATCCTCTGTTGTCGCGGCTCCTTGCCTTGGCTCGACTTTGGGTCCAGAACTGCTCCGGAAGGTTGGAGTGACTCCCTGTTCTCCCTCTGTGATCAGAGAATGGGGCCCAAATCAAAGAGTGATTTTGCAATCCTGCTCTGTTTGCTTACGAACCAGCGGCATGTCCCTTTTCCTCACTTGGGCTGCATGTTCCTTCTGCAATGTCCCTTGACTCTGCCTTTTTGGTGTTGCCTTCAGCACTTCCATGGGCCATTTCCTGAGTCTCATCACTTGCCTCCCCTCACTTTCCTTGGTTGATCAAGGGCTTTTTCTGAAACAGGTGCACCAGCGTGCCCTTATACATTAAAACCTGCTGAAGACCTTATTGTGCAAGGGCAGATGTCAGGCTTAGAAGTGTGAGGGGTCCTTCACAGCCGGCTCCTGCCTACCTTTCCGGGCTTTCGCCTGCCCTACTAAGCTGGCTTCCTTCCCGTTCCAGAGCGCACGCCCCCTTCCGCGCACCCACCGTGCAGACAGCCACAGAAGGCCCAGCTGAGCTGTCACGCCTCCCTCTGTTTCTGTCAGTGCACCTGTTGCATCGTATTGGTTCTAAACCTAGATTGGGAACACCTGTGTGTTTCATTTCCCCCTGCCTGCCCTCCCACCCTAACTGGCAGAGATTTGGTGCTTCAAATGCTGAGCTCAGTGTTTTTGTCCCTGGAGGACGAGGACTTGGGCTGCCAGCGGCTAGGTGGCTGGATCCTGGATGTTAACCTGGATGTGTTGTAATGCCCACTGCAGTGCCAGGAATCATTTTAGCCGAGGCATGGTCCAGACCAATATTTACATCCAGGCCGACGTGTGGGTGACTTCCCAGTTCCCCAGAATGAGTAGTCACCTCATGGACGCTGACACCATTGGCCACAAGCGCTCTTGACCTCCTGAACAAGGTCACCGCTTACGGCTGTTGTCCTCACCCTCCAGTGTATTCTTCCGAACTCCCCAGCCATCTCTTCCCACAACAGACTTTCTTGCTGGGGGTGTGAGTTGAACTTCTCTCGAGTCACCTTCGGTTATTAATGCCTCAGCACTGGAGGGCGCGCCCATCAGCATTGCAACCTCCCAGATTCTGGAAGTATCAATATATTTTCAGTTTCCGGGAAATTTTCTCTCCTTCACTGTCCAAGTAGTAACTTGGGTAGGATAATAACATACTTGGTTTTAATTTGAGATTACTGTCTGCTAGCAGATGCTAACAGCATTAACAGGACCTCAGAGGGTTTACTCAACAGCACATGGCGGGAGCAAGGTCAAGGGGAAACAAGTCAAGGGTGCAGTGCAGTCTGGGATATAGTAAGAAGTTGGATCTCGCCACGGTCAGCATCTGGTCCACCTGCCACATCTGTTCAAGAGCTGAAGGGTGTTGGTGATATCAAGTGACCACCTGCCCCAAGTGACAGCAGCAGAGCTGGGGCCACCATGCTGGTTTCCTGCCACCTTGTCCCATGCTCTCTCCTGTACCACCGGCCTGTGCCCCTCTTCTGGGGTAAATGCTATCTGAAAGATCGTGCTGGCCTGGCAGATGAACCGTAGGTCTCTCGGCCGCTTGCCCGGTGTCCCTCTCTCCAGCAGATTTCTGTGAGCGCTGTCAAAAAGCCAGGGGGGCGGGGCCGTGCCGGGAGGCTCGGTGTCTTGCCCAGGTGGGTGATTCCTCGCCCAGTTCGCAGCCATTCGGCCTGCCTGTTCCGGCCGCGACTGCATCACA